GTGATAGATGGCATACCAACAAAGACTTTAGAAGCAATGGGCGAGATTGGCTTGGATGTTATACTGGATATGTGCAACATAATATTGATCACAAGTGAATGGCCTGGTGAGTGGTGCAAATCAATCTTTATCCCTATGCATTAAAAATGATCACTAATCGTATGCAGCAATTACAGAACCATTGCCCTCATTCCTCAGGCAAACAAAACAACCCTGCTACATATAATCAATAAACGGCTCAAGAACTTTCTACATCCAGAGACAGCCGAAGAAAAATTCGAATTTATATCAGAAAGAAGAAGGCCTAAGCAGATATTGAACACCAGATAGTTAATAGAAAACGAAAGGGAACACGATATACTAATGCCGCTTTGTTTCGTAGCTTACACAAAGGCTTTTGATTCAGTAAAATCCCTTTCTCTTTGAGTATATTAGGTAATATGATAGTAGCCAACCACCTAGTTAGCCTTACAAGAAAATTATATGCTAAAAACTATGCTAAAAGCCAAAGTGAAAGTACAAGGAATATATTCAAGTGCGTTCAAAACAAAGAAAAGGACTAGACAGGACTGCATACTATTACCATTATTATACAACATACATTCTGAATATAAAATAAAAAAAGTACCAGTTTAATGGGATTCAGGAATCATTATAAAAGGCAGAAAAATCAATAAGCTGCGATACGTAGGTGACTTATTTTATACTAGCAGCGGATAAAGTCGAAATCCTATCATCACCGAGAGGATAAGCCGGATAAGCAAAACGATGACTGAAGATGCACACCAAAAAACTAATAATAATAATAATCCTAGGTAGGGCAAATAATAATCTGTCACACATATACCAAGTGGCAACTTTCAAATTAGTAGACCTATTTTTATTGATAACCAAAATCGGGGATAGTCCCTCAGAAATAAACTAGCACCTAAACACAACAGCTAAATTTATTAAAATATGGAAAGACTGGACAATAACAAATAATACTAAGCTCAGGTTGCTCAGTGCCCTTATTTTTTTCATGGCTACATACGCAACCGAAACATGGACGGAAAAAAATCGATATAAGTAAGATCAAAGCCTTCAAAATGTAGGTCCATAGAAGAATTCTACGCCTGTGTTGGAAAAAACACAGAACTAACTTGTCAATTTTGCAAGAGCTTTATACAAAAGAGAGGGTATTAAAAAAAGTATTAAAAAAAGTAAAAAGTAAAAAGTAAAGTAAAAGTAATTACTTTAAGTCGGCAAACAAGTAAGCTTTAGAAAATTAACAAAAAATTATCTTGCGATATTTATTTTGATCGAGACTTGCAGTACATTGATATTTCTTTAATTATCTTTTTCTGAGCCATTATTTTTATGTAGGTAAACACCTGCAGATATTTGCAAAATGCATACCTGTGCAAATTTTGCTTGCGCCTTTTTTAATTGTGGTTTCCTCCCAGATGTAGCAGTACCATACTTAGTACGCATGTGGTACATTCATTCAAGTTTTCTTAGTTGTAGAGACTAGGTGTCAATCAAACAGTTAAATGACTAAAGCCATATAAAATTTTAAATCATGTTTATTTCCTTTTAGAGGCTAACAGAGATGCACGGAAACCCCTCACTATCACTATTTTAATCTTTCAAAAAATTTTCATTACACAATTTTTCTTCCATTAAGTTGTAATCATGAAAAATTTTCTATGCTTTACTATCTATAAAATAATTTTTTAAACTCTCGAACTTATCAATTATATGAAATTGCTTATCATTTATTGTACTACTTCAGTTCAAGTATAGAGACATGGTTCAAAGAATATGGCTGTATAACTGATATCCATAGTCTATAACCCAAAAAAAAATTGGTACTTACAGTGTTATTAGTTATAATCACAGTTAGACACATTAAGAACATTGACAACATGCGATTAAAAATTTAAAATAACTTCTAACGGGATGTTTACTGTTTTATGTCTCATACTCAAATAAAAGCTGAAGGCTGAGCTAGAATAGTGAAGAAATAGGTGTTAACCAATTGGCGCCCAAATTATTTTTTACGATTTATTTTACACAATCCTTTGGTGAATGCGATACTTTTAAGGCGGATACAGAGAACTAACAACCACAGAGAAGCGACACTCCTTTGAAGTTGCGTGGGCAAGCCACCAATGAGTGCCAATGACAGAAAAGCAACCAGCTAACTAATAGTCAGTGGGCATATCACACAATATAAGTTCTTAAATAAAATTGAACATTTATGTTGACTTTCAATAAATATGAAATATTGCACTGAAAAAATTATTACATGCAGGGCCGGCTTTTGTTGACATTCTAAATGGTGTAATTATTTTTGATTTACAAAAGGTTGCAAATACATCGCACAACGCAAAGTAATGGTGAAAATCGTATTGATGGAACCATAGATGAAAATACTTTTTTATTTATTCTGATGTTGGCATTGATAGACCAATAATACACCGATTCTTTTTGGCTTGTGTTGATACAAGATATAATTTGTTCGTCGTGGAATTTCCTAATAAATTATCTTTCGTAATATAATCGAAATATAACAAAGCCATTGTAACTGGCACGGAAATTTTAAAAAGTCTAAAAATTCCAATTCTCTTTAGGTGACAAATGTTTGTGATCGACAACAAGAAACTTTATGTTGATATCGATTGTTAATGTCTTGGAAACCTATTAAAATTACATTTTTCCTTTAAAGTCGAATATTGGAGTAAACGATATTCAACTTAAACGAATAAAAAATCAAGAAGTATCTATTGTACGAGTATATTTCTATAAATATAAAAATGTAATAACCTAAAAAATAATCAAAAAAGTATTACGAATCATTACAAGAGAGCATTAGGAAGATAAAAAGAATTTATATTATTTTCATTACACCATGATTCGGATATACATAGTAAATCCAGACTTTTAGTTTTAAGTAATATTTAGATACAATTTATTTTGTTTACAATAGATTCAGAGTTAATACATACTATTTTTAGTTGATTGGTATTGATTTTAAAATTATTTGTAGTATCTAGTTTGCCTAAGCCGGATTTGTAACAATTATTTCTGGTTTTGTTGTTAACTGCGGTTAGTACAATTCTTATACTTGAAGTCAAAACGACGAACTATTGAACCTTCAGGCCAGATACTGGGATTGGGAACTTTATTTTTATAATCCAATGGATATAAAACTTTAAAGATTGCTTGGTACTCCGTAACCTTTAACTTTTTGAAGTAGAAATGTATATTTGGAGCATTTATCTTTAAATAATTGGTCAAATCTTCCGTTGTCTGTTGTGGAATTAAATTATGGTGTAAATAAATAATGATTGATTGGAGTAAGATTTATGTCTGTTTACTCTTAATATTGGCTATGAGCATGTGAGCTTGTTGTAAATATAGTAATTGTCATCCACTTCTAGTCTGTTAAAATGTAACTAACTTTCGCAATAAAGGGCTGGACTAGTAGAAAAGAGTTCATTATAGAAAATCCAAAATGACCGCCAACAAAATGGTGGATTACATATTTTCTTTACGTACTGTTGTACGCCCATGATTTTTTAAATTTTTATTGACTTCCGAAAGGTATTTGATCGTATTAAGTACTCTATATTGATCGAAGTTCTAAGAAACATTGGTTTGGATGGCAAAGACGTTCGCATAATTGCAAGTTTGTATTGAAATGAAACGTAAGTTTTAGTAGACAGTCTGGAATCACATTGCCGTTTACTCTAAAAGAATGTTCAGAAATGCACTTTCTGAAAAACAAGAAGGAATAATTCTGAACAGTGACTTCATAAATAATTTGGGATATGCGGACGATCTAGTACTCCTAGCTTCTACTCCAGAACATCTGCAAACATTAATTAACAGTGTTGTTGAGAGCTATGTTTTCAACAATTTTTAGTTTGAGCATTTTAGAAATTTCTTTGTTTCGTTTAAATCAAATATTCTCGTGTATAAAACCCTCTATATATATATATATATATATATATATATATATATATATATATATATATATATATATAAAACCCTCTATATATATATTTATTTCCTAAAAATACTATATTCGTATTGTTACCTTCGAGTGCTTTCACACCAGGCCAAAATCTGTTGATTTTTTGACCTGAGCCTTCGGAGATAATAAATTTAATGTTTTCAATTTTGAACTATCCCTTGGCAGACCCAAGTTTATTTTTTTATTGCTCCACTTAACGAGAGCTCGGACGGACACGTCGGCGTCGGCTTACTGTTCGAAAGTCAAACTAATATTATTATGTAATATCTAATAATAAATACAAAGCAATAGTAATTACCAGTAATTATTCTTAGGAAATCTTAATAAACTTATTCCTTTTCCTGTCACAGATGAACATCCGCGAATCGCACAACAATAACCGGAAGATATTTTAAATACTTATAAATTAAACTGTTAACTATAAACTATAACTATATACTTATATATTTTAACTATAACTATAAACTTTTATTAACTACTAAGTAAATTATATAAAAGATCAAAAGCTCTTGTATAGTCGAGTATTTACCACAGGCGCCTACGGACTATCGTAAACAACCCGAGTTGAAGAATAAGCACGTGTTTTTGACAGTACAGCAACCAGTTTCAGGCATGCGTATACAAAAACGGTACACGGATTTCGGTGCTCGTATCGCTTCTCTGTGTTCGTAGTTCTCTGGCGGATATGCTATTTTACCATGAATCCATGGTATGATAGCTAAGTTTTAATTTTAGTTCAAACTAATTTAGATAGTTTTGGTGTTTAAGTTATTTACCTAATTAGATTTGGTTTAGAGATACAACATGATTTTGTCAATAACGTAGTTTGCGCTATTTTTCCATGCAAGGGACGATATGTTTACTATCATAAAAGAGCGTATATCATAAAAAATCAAGGTTTAATTATATTTAGATTGCAAAAGAACATTTATGTTTTAACTTGGTTAAAATATTTCTTTTACCTTTTTTTCTGTTATAGAAAACAGTTGCTGCAATCTTTCTGAGTTTTTCGGAAATTTGGTGGATATGAGTCTAATTAAAAATCCAGTTTTCTTGGTATTGGCTTTTGCTTCGGTATTCGCTATGATATCGTTTTATATACCATTTGTGTACTTAGTAGAACTAGCCAAGTCAAAGGTAAGCTATATTTTATAACTAGTAAACTTTTGTTGCATTTCTGATTAATACTAAAATCTATAATAAGCCAATCTAACAAACCTTTGTCTGCATCACCTATACCACTCTACCTATTGTCTGATTTACGGTTACCTATTTCACGATACTTAACTATACTTCATCTAATTTACATACCGATGTACGTCATTATCTACGTCAGAGATCGAAGTTGACATAGTTGCCAAAGGATAAGAAAATTTTGACTCCTTTTTAAATCAAATAGGTCACATAATTATTGCAAAATATTACCATCTCTTTACAACGACTATTTAAATCCTTACGTGACATTTTTGAAATAAAACACACTAATTTTGGTCTAAAAAGATCGGATTTTATTAAATAGGTAAAAATATAAAACAAGGAGTATTCACTTTAAAATTCAAAATAATAAAGGACAAAAAGTGTCAACACCGCAACTGTCAACACCGCAACTGTCAAATAAGTGTTGCCAATTTATGTCAAAATATCACCTTCATTCGATTACAGTTACATTTTGTTCCGAACAAATATTCTTCATAAAAACGCATTATAATACATTTATACAAATTAAATAAAACAATATGCCAGTATACTTGGCAAAGTGATTCTAAAAAAGAACACACCCACCGACTAAATATTTCGTGTTGATATGATGTGACCTCACGGACTATGACGCTGATGACGTGCAACGGTAAGTAAATTAGATGAAGTATATCTTTTTCCAAAATTAATAAGCTAACACCCATAAACAGAAATTTTTCACTACACAGAATTTATTTAATTAGTCTTTTTTTATTTACTAGTTATTTTTTCTTTATTAATGTAGCATTTATTTAAAAGTAGCAATCGTTTTTTCTAGTCGACATTTAATTAAGTTAAGAGGCGTTAATCAAGTATAAATATATTTATGTTGTAAGGTCTACAGAACATTCAACCAACTTACACCTCTAAACGATTAACGTAATTCGCAGAAAACTCTTCGAAAACCACTCCTGTTGTTGCTTCTTACGTTAAATGTGGATCACCTGATGATAAATACGCTCATGTTTGAAGTTTTCGTCACGTAATTTATATATTTTTTTTAACAGTGATGATTTGTCTCCGCAAACATCGACTAATATTTCTTTTGAAAACTTAATTCAAAGTATATTTATTTCAACTAATAAACTAGAATGCTTTCTTTGCGAGTGATGTTGCAATATCCAAAATATTGTCCCTTACCATGACCTCTTCTTCATACAACTGGCATATAAAAACCTGTCAAAAAGAAGAAACTGATTACGACTGTCACAGTATTAATCAATAATATCTCTTCATTATTAATAAACTAACGAACGTCCTTGAGTCATTTTCATTCAATGTAATCTAACTTACTGCATTCCTTAAAAAGTCATTTGGCACCAACGACACTCTAACTAAAGCCAGAAAATGTATCACTGACGTAACCTCTTTAATGAAAGATCTTGCCCTAATGTGTACTAAGATAAAAGAAAAATTCTAAAAAAATCGGATAACACGTCTGTTAAATAAAATCAATCTAAAACTTTACCCCGATCAAAAAGATTTCACAGAACAACTGCTCACTAACGATGGTAACACAAGTGACTCCTCCGTTTTTCTTAATAATTTTTTTCCTCTTTCTCCTATAGTCTTTTTAAAATTAATAACATATCTGATACAAAGGAATTGCGATTTTAGAAAGAATTCAAAAGATTATCTCCTCTCATAATCCCAACATCTTTGGTCTTCAGGAAACAAATTTTAAAATCGATCATTACGGCAAACTTATAATCCTTGAAGGATATCACTATATTCGCATAAACTGTACAAGATTAATTTGTGGTACCTCAATTTTTGTTTCTAGTTATGTATACTCCTCTCTTCTACCGTTAGCTACAATTTTAAAAGCAGTAGCGGTTACTGCTTGGTATCCTAACAAACTTATTATTTGCAGCATATCTCTCCTGACCATATCCTTAATGAAGAAGAAGTAGTCGATTTAATATTTTAACGTTCTTTTCTGTATAATCTCGTAAAAGATTAGACTTATTATCCATTTCAACATCTTTTCAGAATCATTTTTAGCCATTTTAGCAATCACTTTCCTATCATCATATCCAGCTCTTCCAATAAGGAAATTACTACGAGAAGTTTCTGGAACTTTAAAAACGCTGATTGGTTAAATTTTAATTATAAACCGAAATATTATAACTTCCTTAGCTATTACAGAGGATATTAACATTACTCTAAATTTTTTTAACGAATGATTACTTACTACTGCCGAATCACATACCGGTAAAAAAACATATCTTCTACTCACAAAATGGTACCCTGGTACAAAACTGATTGTAATAATTCCATCAGTTTATTCAAGAATGCGTTAAATATATATTGGCGAAACACAATTCAGAAAAATCTTATAATACACGAACAATTTAGAACTCAAACCAAATCCATAGCAAAGCAGAAGTTATTTATGGCAAAATTTTACTTTCTCCTTAACACATAATATAAACCCCACTCAACTATGGAAAAACATTTCACAAATACAAGACAATAAAACTAACCTTAGGATTTCTCCTTGCATCTTCTACAACACAGTTATCTTTGACAGCCAATAAATTTCCGACACACTCGCTTAATTATTTTGAAGCCAAATTCCATAAAAGTAATATAACTTTCCCTCCGAGTACTTTACACACTCAATCTTTCACCACCTTCTCGTCAACTCCACACGATGTCACTTTTATGAAGGCGCCTCGTTTTTTCTACATGAACTTAAATTTACTTTGTCTTCGTGTAGAAAATCTACTGCTGGTCCCGATAATATCCCTTATATATTTTAAAAATCTCTTCAATACATCTCTCACTTAACTTCTCGAAATTCATAACCTTATCCAGAACACACATAAATTTCCAGATATTTGGCGCAATTCTATAATCGTTCAAATTAAGAAACCTGGCCAACCCCCTATAACCCCTAAATCTTTTCATCTAATTTCGCTCACTTGTACTGAAACGCTCAATACTCCGGGAGTATTGGGTTTTTGGAAGTGTAGAACTTCCAAATTTCAGAAGAACTGAAAGAGAAGTGATGAAAAAAAAAATACTAAAAATAGGGCTAAGCTCAGAGGAGCAAATTTAAATGGCCAAAGAGACACTAAATCTCAAGTGAGTGTTCGGGCTAGCTTCAATGCACTGGATTGTGGCTTTAAAGATATAAACAACAATAACAAGAGATAATGAGCTAATGAGACAAGAAAGAAATGAGACCTGGTAATATCAAACGTGATAGAACTGAAGAAGGTCACTGGGAATAAATTTATAGAAAGAGAACAATAAGAAGAGAAAAGAAGGGCGCCAACTCAACGATAGTTAAGATTTTGAAGTAACAAATGAATCTGGAGATAATACTCTGAAATACAAAAATACTAAATAATAATCTTGTTTTGCTATGTTATATACTGGTTAGTAGAACTGAAATAAAACTCAAAATAGCAACAATAAATATATTTATAAAAAATGTATATAGGTATATGTGTATACACAATTTACATATAATGCAAAGCCAAATAACAGTGGTAGTGGATGATGTACACATACAATGGGACCTAATAGCCCCTCAACAAACGAATAGTCACTACCACTGGCCAAATAAAATATGAAATATTAGTAAACAAGAATAGTCCGTAGGGTAGCCTAAGTCTTAATACAAAAAGGTAGTAATTTAAATTTAAATAGTTCTACTAATATGAGATACTAATGACAATATTGTAAAGATATCAAACTTGATAAGTCTATTACAATTATTATATTATATCCACAAAGTGAGTCTTCAATACTCCTTATACAATGTTTTAAAAACCACATGAAATTCATTTCCCTTCCCAATATCAAAATTATTTTATATCAAATGTATTGTATTAAAATATATATATATATATATATATATATATATATATATATATTAAATCAACAAATGAGTTCGGTCAGACTCTGTATTTCCTATTTAAAAACCTAATAAAACATGTAATATATTTTCTTCTCCCCAATATTTTTAGAATTAGATTATATCAAAAATTAAATTATCACAAAGGTATTCACCTTATCATATGCATATGATGAGTTAGATATATAGTAACAAATAATACATAGTAACAAAATAGATAGTAACACAAAAAGTCAAATAGTTAAACAACTTATCTTTACAGCACTATAAGTCCATAGGAAAAACTCCTCTTGGCACGGCTAAATTAATTTGTTGCTGTAAGGACAAATCCTGGGCACAAAGCCACAACCAGTCACTGGTCTCTGGGTGACAGCAAAATCCACGGGTTGTTAACTATTCAAGAAATTTAGTTACTTGAGTCCTTGAGGGAATTTTCTGAAGAGAATATCCTCAAGTAAAGTGACGGAATCTAAAATTATTATTTAATTTAACAAAACAAAACATCAAAACATTATGTTATGTCAACATCATGTCAAATTTATGAAGTTACTTTCGTAGGCATGGCAAACTTGCGCCATGAAAAGAACATGCGCAGAATATAGAAGGCTGTCCAATATTTGTCGAACCTTTTTATATTCCACCAAAAAAGTTAGGTAAAAAAGAACCAAAAAAACTTAATGATAACGACGTGGAATAAAACAGAATTTAAGTTTAACTATATAAAAAAAAATGACCTTCTGTTCTTTGCAAGTAAATCAAGGAAATTTTATATTTAAATTATTTCGGAACTCAAAAATAAATCTCTAAAGAAATACTAAATACAATGATAAATTTGATTATATGATAAAGAGATAATACGTATAAAATGATTTACTTACATGGAGCTCGCAGCACGCCAAAAAAAAACTCTTCCTTTTTATGTGGAACTCATAAATGAATATTGATTTTATTATACAAATTACTTATTTATATTATTATTAATGAATTATATTCTTCCCCAAATTATTTTTCTGCTCCAATTCCGTCACTTTGA